TTGGTGGCGAAATCCCCCCAAGCCAATTGGGGTGCGCAGTAACTGCGTAGCACTAAATGGTTTGTGCAATCCGGGAGTAAATGAACCAATCAAAATGTGGCGTAAGCCAATCGAGCTGGCGAGTGCAAAAGCGGCGCGCAATAAAAGTGGGGAAGTGCTATGCTACTTGGTCGTACATTTTTGTGTGTTTCTGTGTGACTATTTATAAAGTTTTTGCAAAATGGAAATTTACATATTGTTTACAGTTTTCTTGTGTTAAGTGGATGTCTAATTGTTGTTATTTAGCTGGCYCCCGCTATTTGCGAGCAAAATAAGACGTCCTTGGCGTCGCGCACCCCGCTATTTGTTTTTTTATTGTTGTAAGTGGAGCATTCCTGAAGGTGAGAAATTCGTAAGGTTCCATGTACAGCGGCAAAATCTACCAGAAACAACAAACAAACAACAACTCTGAAAGAGAAACAAGGAAATACCCTCAATGAGTGCACAACAACAAACACATTCACACATGCTCGTACCTGCCGAGTACTTACTGCCTAAGAGATACACACCAACAAACAGGTCATGAAGTGTTTGTTGCTGTAAGGAAGGGTTGCGGGCGCTGGACGTGCCTACCAGAGAGGGCGGAGGAGAAGCAGCATCGAAACAGATGTTAAGCAGCAATCAAAAAAACATATACACAACCCACACACAGCTACAAGTAGTACGATTTCTGTATGTATGTGTGTGCAAAGCAAATGGCTCTGCGCAAAATCGAAAATCAGCTGTTCAGTGCTGCCGTCGCACGCTGTCACAGCTGACGCAAAAGACAGTCAGCAATTAACGAGAGAAAAGAGAGCGCCACATGCTGTTGTGACCTGACTTCTAATGCACACATCCGCACACAAACACACACAGAAATGAGAAACAAATCAAATAAAGAAACGTACGAAATACTTATAAGAAAAAGTGTAGGTAACGACAACGGTTCAACCACCAGCCGCATTTGGCAGCGGCGGAGGCGCACAACCTGAAAACAAACGTTTCTATGAGAACGTGCTGTGCATAACAAATCGAGAGTAAAAGAAGGCAAACACACTGAGGCAGAACTACCTCTGGAAGCACTCACATACCCACACATATACACATATAAAGTAACAGCAACAGCGCAGTTGTCGCCAACGTTGGCTGCGCAGTCAACGCCAACACACGAACGTCATTATCACCATGGCGAGGCAGCGAAGCGAAATGGAATAGTTTTGGACAAGAAACAAGAGAGCAGTCGAAGCGCTCGAACAGCTGTTGACTTTATTTGAGCACGCGGTTCACTGTTAGTGACAGTGTATTTTGTTGTTATTTTAATAAAATTACTATACTTTTTTATCATATATTATATTAAGTTTGTTATGAAATTTGTAACACTTAGAAAGTAACGTCGGAAACGCTATAAAATATTTAGTAAATATATATGTAAATAAACAGTTTTGGATAATCTTATCTTCTCGTATATCCATCAGTAGAAAATACAGCTTGTGCAAGAACTGAAGCCGCACGRCCTTCCCAAGTGACATAACTTCGCTCTATGGGCTCTTGAAAAGGTCCGAGAAGAACCACGGTTACCAAGCCAAATTTTGTTCAGYGATGAGGTCCATTTCTGGTTCAATGGGTACGTAAACAAGCAAAATTGCCGCATTTGGGACGAAGAGCAACCCGAAGAAACTCAAGACCTGCCATTTCATCCAAAAAAACAACGGTTTGGTGTGATTTGTGGTCTGGTGGAATCATCGGTTCATATTTCTTCAAAAATGATGCCAGTGAGAATCTAACAGTCAATGACGATCGCTATCGTGCCATAATAATCGACTACTTGTTGCCTGAAGTTGGAGCTCGTGATCTCGATGATATTTGTTTTCAACGAGGCGATGTTACTTCCCACAAATCGCATCAATCAAAGGATTTATTAAGAGAACACTGCTGTGAGGAGATAAATTCACGGTTTGGACCGGGTCTTTTGGCCATCAAGATGGTGTGATATGACACCGATAGTCTTTTTTCTGTAGGGATATGTAAAGTGTTAAGTCTATGCGGACGATCCCGCTTCGATTCAGGCTTTGAATCAAAATATCACGCGTGTCATTAGCCAGTTATCTGTGGAAAAGCTCGTTGGATTCAACGGTTGAACTGTAGGCCAACATTTTAAAGAGAGAATGTTCAAAAAAAATATATGTCCAAGAATATTCTTTCGAATAATAATAAATATTAACCTTTAAATTTGAAGTTTCTGCGTTTTTCRTTAAAAAAGTAGGAAACCTAGGAACGGATCATCCTTTAGRTTCGTTGTTTTTGGGTAGTGCTTCATAGCTACTTTTTGATGTATGTTTTATACTGTTAGAATAACGACATCAACATAGTGCTACGAGAATCGCTACAACCGAAATGGTTTCGTTTTCTCTAAAGTTTGCTAGTCAAAAGTGGAACGTTTTTACTTTACTTTTGTACTCCTACGCCACATGCTCTAGGAAAGTACTTAGCATATCGATTATTGAAGAACAAAATTTAAATATTTCTGACCTAGTAAATACGTATTCCAATCAAAGCGAAAACCAGCACAAACGCACATGAAATCTCGACCGGCTCACTTTAAGGGAGCACTTTTTTATGACTTATCGTGATGTGTATCATACTTTTGCTCAAATTACGGTTAATGGGAATTATGGTGAGCGCCTCATAAGCAGACAAATAAATATGAAAATACATATTTTATACGACTGTGTATTTGTATAACGGTATTATGTACAGTGAGCGCGAAAAAAACGCAACGATGTGGAAACAATCTGACATGCAAAGCGGCAATTAGGGCGTTGGGTCGGCCAGCAAGCAAACAGGTCGTCCAAACAGACCGCCAGTCACACAGTCGGTTGAGTCAGTGAATGTGAACGCGTATGCTCATGGACAATAGCGTACGCCTTGCCAAAAAAAAAAATATATATATACATATATATAAAACAAATGAGGAATAATCATAAATAATAAAGCATTGTAAGGTCACTCATTTTTTGTATAAATTTTCCAAGAGACGAAACAATTATGAGCAGACATAATGAAGCAGTAGCATTATTTAGGCAGTCTATTTTCATAATTATATACGAATTTATATGGAAGTCAAGTTATAAGCAAAGTGATTTTTGTTAGATCGCAAAGACGGCAAGATTTATCTCCACTAATTGCAGGYTAGGCGGTTAGATCAATTACGGAAAATTCAAAATTCACAGAAGGTAGTGGTTTATTGTTGAGAGTGAGCTTTTTTCTAATGGAGAGTAAAGAGTCTAAGTAGATTTGGGCTGATTTATACGAAAAGGAAACTTGTGGTTTTAGAAAGACTGACMCGGAACTAACTGCTAAAGCATGAAGTGGCGGAAGCGCATCATTTTCAACAATATATTTTAGACTTACGGGTATATAACAGATGCTTCTTCAGATGGTGATTTTCAATGAGACATAATTCATAAAGAACAGATCTACTCCGGAACAACTATTGCAAAAAGAGAAAGTTTGTTATCAAATATATAGTATTCGGGTGACATAATCGTCCAGCAGAGTCGATAAGACGAGCAACGTTGGGTCGATTCCGCACCATATTTACGTTGGATTATAATATGCATTCYYAKAGACGCCGTACAGCGCRTACAGTAGRCGCTGCACTGGAGTAGAGTAACGAAGAAAACCCGGGTTAGAGCTGTGCCTATCCACTTTACGGAAGGTTTGCGCGTTTACAAAATCCAACTCGTCCAGGAATTGAAGCCGAGAGACATCATGCACATCGCATTAATGGATCAAAACAAGATGGAACAGAGTATCAAAGACGACACGAATTGAAGTAATAACCATYCACCTTATGGAAKATTTTACGGAAGGATCTTRAGTTGCGGGCTTACAAAATCCAACTCGTGCAAGACATGAAGCCGAACGACCAACAATTCTCACTGAAAATCGACGCAGGTTTATATTTTTTCAATACAGCAGCAGGCCACAGTGTTTCTGTTAATGTAGAACGCTTTAGAGAAATGATCAATGACTTTTTGGACCTTGATTTGGTGGATGTTGATATGGACGACCTTTGGTTCCAATAAAACGGCGCTATATGTTTGCAGCAAACGAAACAATCAATTTATTGAAGGTAASTTTTKGTTGGCGCGTTATCTCAAGTCGCGGCCTTTAGGATCGGKAGAYTTAACACCGTTGAAYTATTGTTAGTGGGATTATGTGAAGCCAGTTGTCAACGCAGAGCCAAAGCCAGAGACGATTAAGGACTTGTTCGACAAGCTTTTATTAACACAAGGTCCCAATTGATGCTGAAGGAAGAAAGAAGCCAAAACAGAGGATTTCGATCTCTTTAACTAAACAGCTCGGCACTAAAATTTGTCGAAAATTGGGGCTCTCGGCTGGACTTTATTTKACTAAACATGGCGTTCAGTAGTCCTAGGTCATTCTTAAAACATAACGGCAAATCCTTCTCATTTTTTCTCTCTCCAAAAATAGTTAACTAAAATTTTATAAAAATATAAGCCCTGGCATGTGGCTTGAATGCCTTAATTTTATACATATATAGACAGCAGTGGTGGGGGGATGGTGACAAAACTGCGTGCGAGCTGACCAACACAAAAATTGCAAAAAATATCGAAATATCGATTGCACTACAAATTGAAGAGACTTAAGCAGGGAGGCGAAGACCTATAAGTTTGGTGTAGTTTCACACCTTACCCATGCAATACAGCGTTACCGTTAGCTAAGACGAGAGAGTACGAAATAAGAAGAACACAAATACAAATTAGACTGAAGAAATGAATGGAACGAGGCAGACAGGTGTTATTTTTAGAAGGGATTACAGCCAAGTAATTTGTGCAACTTTGTAGCGACACAGCCATTTATGTCGAATTTTGGTCAAGGGTAAAACAAAAATCTACATAGAAGTAAAATGTTTTCAATTTATTTAACCCACAAGTTGGCAACGCGCGCTTGCAAATTTACCTACAAAAACAGGTGACGGTCTCCTCCACATCCAGTGGCAGTGATAGCTGTGTTGCGGTGGCACCACCGCGCTGCTGTGGCACAGCGCGTCCAGGAACATGTTGGCGCGACGACGACGTCGACGTGGACGCATGCAGRAACGAGGCACCCGGAAATGTTGCGGTCGACACATTCGCGCTTGCCGCACCGGTAGAGGATGGTGTCTGCGGCACCGAATCCGCCGCATCCGAGGCCAACGGCACGGCGGAGTAGCGCACGAGTATGGCACGACTGACACGATTGCCGCCCGTCAAATTCGAAATGGCCCAATTCATTGTGGTGCCAGCAGGAAAGCAAGGATGCACCGCGCGAGGTTTACTTATGCACCGAGTGCGTATGAAATGTACCGCACGGTTTCACTGACAGTACAAATATAGTGTTGGCGGCTAGAGTGGCTGTCACGGGCAGAAGTAGTAGCAACGAACCGCACGAAATTGCCAAATGCGACTGAAGAATAAAAATCGCTGGCGCGCACACAAAACMAGCTGGCTKGTCGTGTGGAAAGTGAACAAACCAGAGGTGGCACGACACTTGAAGCGCCGATGGTGGCAAAAATGACGCCTGACAGAAATACATATGCGAACAACAWAGTTATTGGAGAAAAAATAAAGCAAAAACCGGAAGGAAAATGCGGCTGAAGGCACAGTGATATTTTGATGCAAGTTAATGCAACTTTTTTTTAGAAAACAAATATACTGTGGTTGCAGGAAATAAATGCAAATATATGTTTCGGAAAGTAATGCAATGTTAACGGAACTTATATTGCAAATAAAAGTTAGGGATGGAATGCCAAATTTCATGAAGATGTTTTGATAAATAAAAGAGTTTTACATACAAAAACTTGATTTTGAATGTTCAGTTTGTATGGCAGCTATATGCTATAGTGGTCCGATCTGAATAATTTTTTAGAGATAATGACGTTGCTTTGGACAATAATACGTGCCAAAAATAGTGTAACTATCTTATCAAAACAAAAAGTTTTTCATAGAAGAACTTGGTTTTTAAGGAGCAGTTTGTATGACAGCTATATGCTATAGCGGCTCGATCTGAACAATTTGTTTGGAGATTATAGCGTTGCTTTGGACAATAACCCCCAGCAAATTGGATGCAGATATCTTGCCAAATAAAAAAGTTTTTCATAGGTGCACTTGATTTTCAACCTTCAGTTTGTATGACAGCTATATGCTATAGTGGTCCGATCTACACAATTACTTCGGAAAGTGTAGCATTGCCTTTTAAAATTTTGTATGCCCAATTTTGTGAAGATACCTCTTCAAATAAAAGAATTTTCCATACAAGAACTTGATTTTGAACGTTCACTTTGTATGGCAGCTATATAGTCCGATATCGTCCGTGCCTACAAACGTGCGACTTTTTGTGGAGAAAAGGAYGTGTGCAAAATATCAGATCGACAWCTCGAAAACTGAGGGATTAGTTCACGTATTGTATATGCAGTTGGACAGACGAACGTGGCAAAAAGTATAGGTATATGAAAAATAAAAATAATTGTAAATTAACTCTGTTAATAGAAAAAAAATTAAATTAATTTCCTTTAATTTAAATTTTGGATTTTATGATATTTTATTTTTTATCATTATTATTTTTTATTTCTTTTTTTACTTTTACTTTTATGATTTTTATTTTTA